CAGCCCCGTACCCAACCCCGTTCATCCCTGAAGCAAAATTACTATTTTACAACCAAACACTTCTCTCTCTCTCTCTCTCAGTCTCACGCGTCTCAGCTCTCTCCCTCACTCACGTTTATCATCTGTCTCCCACTCACTCACTGACTCAGATCTCTCTGAGTCTCACCACCACTTCTCTCATCTCTCTCATTTCTTATCAGCATCAACATCATCCAGATCTACCACCACCACCGATCTAAACAGATCGGTGAAGCCACTGATCTAATGCCACCGATTTGAAGCCACGACCATGACCAGGACCGTGAAGCCACCGATCGATTTCTTGATCAACGGACCATGAACAGATCGTGGTCTGATCGATGTCCGTGAAGCCCCCTGTCTCTCTCTCTCTCTCTCTATATATATATATATATATCTGTTGTTGCAATTTTTTGATTGATGAACAAATTTATTTATTTTTTTATTTTGTTCCAAGTTGTTATCTATATTATATCTGTTGTGTTTTTTTTTTTTTTTTTTTTGTTCTTGTGTTTGTATGTGTGTTGAACAGATTTGTCGGGGATTTTTCGGGGTCGGGAAAACCCAATCCCTGTTAGGGGACGGGGACGGGAGATGTGAAGGGTTTCCCGTCAGGGATCGGGGCCAGGGATTTTGTTGCTATCGGGGATCGAGGACGAGGAGAGTCATCCCCGACCCCGCCCCGTTGTCATTCCTAATGATCAGCACCACTATACATGCGAATAGAAAAGGAGTCGCTTGTGGTACCTCTATTTGAGATATATTGGCTCCGTTTGGCAAGAGCTTTTTCGGCTATTTTAGCTACAAAAGATAAAATAGGCTATTTTAGCCACAACAAACAAATCATCACATCCAACTCATAATCATTATACTCTTCTCTCACAAAAAAAGTCAAAAAAACCAAAAAGTTCTTCCCAAACCAAGCTTTTTAGCCTAGGCTAAAATAGCCAAAAATGCCAAAAAAAACCAACCCACTTCCTAAACGGAGGCATTATGACCTTATTTTTATTATTCAAACCATTAATTTTGTAGGGTTCATTGAGTATTTCATGTCTATAAAAAATTATATTAATCGGATTAACAATATGATAGTCGATCATATAGTTGTTGATATCCAATTAATATGATTTTTGGTAGGTATGAAGTACTCAACAAACCCTACAAAATGAATGGTTTGGATTATAAAAATAAGGCCATAATACATCTCAAATGGAGGCACCACAGTCACTGTTGTGCGTTTAGCACAGCACTAACCCCATTTCCTATAAAGATGGAGACCAGTAGATTTGCTCCAAACGACCATTGTTTCTCTCTGATTGGTGAGTCTGATTGCCTTGAGTCCACCATCAATAATGGCTTTGTCAATTGCCTTGCTCATACAAATCTTCACACTCTCTATAATCTCCATCGGATCGTGCTCTACCCATCTGCAGTTTCACAAACAAAACAACAATAAAAAAACAGAGCAACAACAGAGAGAGAGAGTTCTTCATACCCTGCTTGTGGGTAAAACTGAGTGAACTCGACCTGGTGAGATCCAATTGGGTGGGCATTTTTGTCGTAAAGAATGAATCTGGTGCTGATGGTTCCTTGATCGATTGACCCAATAAATAAATTCTCTTTTGACATTTCTATTCTTCTCTTCCTCTTTCGAAGAGTGTTGTGTTGCATCTCAAATTGACCAAAAAATAGAGCAAAACAGAATTATGAAGATGGAGAGAGAGAGGGGTTGTGTTCAAAATTTGAAATCAGAGAAAGAGAGAGAGAGAGAGACATTTTCAGCCCTTGAATTGAATCAATCCAATGGTTTACAATTTGACAAAGAGCCAAAAGTCCCATCAGGATTCAAAAATAGAGCTTCCTTATTATATAGATATCTGTTATGGATTGTAAATCTTAATAAATACTAATCACAATATATAAATCCGTAAGTATTAATCCAGACAATTAAATAGTGACTTATCAACTACGTAATGTTTCCACCATTACATGTACTAGTACAGTCCAGTAGACCTTGGTTTGTTGATTGCTCATGGAGCCTTAGTTAAAAGACAGAACATGAGGGCACCCTTTAATGGCAGTAGTGCACCTATATCTAACCAAACTTTATGGTTGTTTAATTAAATAATAAACAAACTCATCCTAATCCTAATCCTTATTTTTCATTATTCTTGGACTTCATTGCATGCGTAAGACACTAATGGTATGTTTGGTTGGAGGATTTGGGGAGGGATTTGGAAAGGGAAAGGGAAAAGGTGTGTGAAACTATGTGAAATTTAGGCATGTTTTATTCATATTTCACCTACCTTTTCCATTTCCCTTTCCAAATCCCTCCTCAAATCCCTCAACCAAACACAACATAAAAAAATATACAAAACTTATTAATCAAAATAGAAGTGCTACTAACCACAATTCACCAACTAGAATAGTTAATAAATTACATAATAAGATGATGTATAACATCATTATAAGAAATAATGCTACAATAGATAACAATTTACTGAAGAAAGAGGTTTGAGGATGTATAAGAATGATCAAAACTGAACCAGCCCATAGGATAAATTGAAATTTCATCTAGAATGGCATTATATTAGTTGCATTTTTGATATTATGAACCCAATAGATCATCTTCCATTTAGAAATGGGTGGATCATAGCGACCCATATCATTATGTTAAAAAAAATTGTATAAAATTCCTTTTTTTGGCATAGGATACACCAACATTGTTTCCTTGTTGCAACCCTTGCTGGGCAAATTACATTTTACCCCCTTAAACTATTGTCTCATATCATTTTATCCCTTTGAACTAATAATTATAACAATTAACCTCCCTCATCTATTAATTCTTTTCAATTTAGACCTTAATGATGAAAATACCTTTTTAACTATAGGAGTAAATTACAAATTACCCTGTTGAACTATCACTCAATATCACTCTACACCCTCAACTAAAAAAATGTTTGATTTTTAATTTAAAATTTTTTTTGTATTTTTTATTTTTAGTAATTTTTTTTCATACCTTAGTCAAAATATTTAAATTTTTAGATGCATCTAAAATTTAAATATTTGTGAAGAATTTTTTTAAAAAAATCACTAAAGATGAAAAATTAAAAAAAAATATAAAACAAAAAACTAGTATATTTTTTTATATTTCTTGTCTTTAGTGAATATTTTTTAAATTTTTTTATAAATATTTTTATTATTTGGTTTTCAATTTATTTACTAATTTTTTTCTAACAAACTAAAAATTAATTTAGTGATAAAATTATAAAAAAAAAAAATCGAAATTGCAAGTGATAATTAAGTAGATGCATCTAAAATTTAAATATTTGTGAAGAATTTTTAAAAAAAAATCACTAAAGATGAAAAATTAAAAAAAATATAAAACAAAAAACTAGTATATTTTTATATTTCTTGTCTTTAGTGAATATTTTTTTAATTTTTTTTATAAATATTTTTATTATTTGGTTTTCAATTTATTTACTAATTTTTTTCTAACAAACTAAAAATTAATTTAGTGATAAAATTATAAAAAAAAAAAATCGAAATTGCAAGTGATAATTAAGTGTTAGTTCAAGTGGTAAAGTAATAGGGGGTGTGGTTCAAGGGGCTAAAATGTAATTTACTCGATTAATGAAAGGCTGTTTTAATCCTAAAGGTTCGAATTGAAGGAAAAAAAAATTAATAGATGAGAAGAGCTAGTTGTTACAATCTTGGATAAATTACACTGACAGTTTCTGAGCTTTCCATTTACCTCCTTCACATTAAAAAAATTACACTTACCTTCCTGTCAGATTAAAATAAAATACTTGCCCATTAGTCTTTATATATATAAAATAATACAGATATTTTGTTCATGTCATTTCAAGTGAAATAATAAACATTTTTTTTTTTTGGTTTAACTCAAACAAAAAAATGAATTTTTTTTCTTTTTTTTATTTTTATTGAATTTTTTTAATATTTTAAGTAATTTTTTTATTTTTTAGATACACTTAATCTAGATATACTAAAGAAGTATAATATTTTGTTTTTTTTTTTAAATTCACCAAATACAAAAAAATACAATAATTCAATACATTACTTTATTTTGTTGTATTCAATGGATTTTTTTTAAGTTCTTTGTCTAAATTTTATACTTTTTGAATTTATCTAGATTAAATTGATCTAATCTAGGTAAAATGATGGAAATAAAAATGAAAATTTATGTTTATATATACAAATTTATACAAAAAAATATATATCATAAAAATGTTGTAATAGTGATATTGTTATAAATATAAATCATGTTTATGGATATTTTATTTTAAAGTGAAAGGTCACTATTAAGCTATATCATTGTATTTGAAAAATCTATATAAAATTTATATTTGTATATTATTACTCAATAAGAATATGTTCAGGTAGAATTTAATGATTCAAAGTTGCAAAATGTAGTCATGATGATAAGAAAAATAATAAAATGGTCATTTAGAAAATTTTAAGGTATGACGTCAGCAATCTATGGGGCAATTTGTAACAAAATTATAAACCGAGGGGAATGTAATTTTTTAAATGTGAGGGAAAATTTTGTATTAAACAAAAATCTCAGGAGATGTCAGTGTAATTTACCCTACAATTTTTAGTTGAAAAGGGTAAAATGGTACGGAACAATAGTTGAAAGGGGAAAAGTGTAATTTTCCCTTCCTCAAATTGAAGCTTCTTATTCCTTCACAATTTATAGGGATTTGAAGCCACAAGAAGAATATAAGGATTTGAAGCCAGTTAATTTATGATTCTCAAATTTCTGTTCAAATGTTGATTTTGGTCCAAGCTATACCCATTCCTCTTGGTTACCTTTTGCTTAACTTTATTCTCAGGAATAGTTTCCTTGAGGCAAATTGAGTCATCTCATGAGATATATTTCGCAAGATTTACAAGAGAAGGAAAGGAAAAAATAAATAAATAAATTGTTTAAGGGAAAAACAAATTTAGAGCTGTAAAAGTTGAGAAATAACACAAATCTTTGTAACATTAGGTAAATAATGATCACAAGATCACAAAAAATGGCAATTCTATTGCCAACAACACATCACAATTTTGACAAAAAAAGAGACACAAACAACTACAACAATGATGGGAGATTAAACTAGAGGCATAAACCTATGTAATTTGGTAACATGCAAATTGCATCCAACAAATGGGCAGTAGTGCCAGTTATTGAATGTGTTAATTCTATATGCCTTTGAATTGCATATACATTTGAAAAAATCCCTAGAATGAATCCAAGAATTTAGAGGATGTATTAACCATAGCAAAAAAATTGATCTTTTCCATCTGATCTAAGTCCTAGCCCGAACAAGGGGTGAAGAAATAGGGGAGTGAGGGGACATCATGTGTGGTGCCATCCCAATATCATCCAACCTTCTAAATGATAAACTGAGCTTAAGATTGCTTTGCCAACATTGCCTCTTGGCAGTCACAAAGCTTCGTATCCTTCGTAGAGCAACTCTCATGGTTTCATCATCCATGTTTGCAAAGCAAACTCTGAACCAACCTGGCTCTGAGCAGTGGAAAGACGAGCCAGGAGAAACATTAAGCTTGACATCGTGGACGATCACACGCCAAAGTGCCATCTCGGATTCAAAAGTTGAGTCCTCGAGGAGCCTACGCAAGTCCATCCAGAAAAAGAGCCCTGCATTGCTCTTCAAGCTACCAATTCCTACTTGAGCAAGTCCCTTTGTGAATAACTCATGCCTTTTCGCTAGCCTCTCTGCACTTTTAGCAATAAATTTCTCAACAAAGATATCATCCAACAACATTGATGCAATCATATGTTGAGTTTGGGTAGAAACTAGCCCAAAACTTGACATCCTACGAGCACAACTTGTCACTGCATCATTGTATGAATAAACTATGCCAACCCTGAAGCCAGGGAAGCCCATGTCCTTCGAGAGACTATAAACAATGTGGATGAGATTGCGGTTGCAATCTATTTCCTCTATTATCTCAGCAATGCTAATGAAACTGGGCTGATTGAAAACTGTGGCAGCATATATCTCATCAGCCACTAGATGGATGTTTTTTTCATTGATGAAGCTCACTATAATTCTTAGTGTCTCCCTGTCTAAGACAGTTCCCAATGGATTTGATGGATTGGTTATGAGCAAGCCCTTAATTTTGATGTTAGCCTCTTTTGCTCCCTTGAATGCTGCTTCCAAGGCTGATTTGGTGACCTTAAAATTGTTAGAGCTCTCACAAACTACTGGAACAAGCTCTACTCCTGTTCGCCATTTCAAGTCTCGATCAAATCTGCAATGGAATCCCAACTGTTAGCAAATCCCTAAGTCAAACAAAAATCAGAGAAAAATGAAATTTACTAGTAATTAAGATCATTCCATTGCAGCCCACAAATTTTTTTTGAGTAATCATAATACAAACAGAAAATATATACAGAATGATATGATAAGAGTTATGAGCCTATCACTTTAAAACAAAATATTCCATTAAATGCTTCTTAATATAAAAAATGTCACTGCCACGTCATTCTGATAAATGTTGATGTATGAAAATTTTGGAAGAATAGCATTTTCCATACTTTTTTGCTAAATCATGTTAAGATTTTGAATCACGTGATGGGGGAATTGGGAGACAAAGCATAATTTATTACCATGTTAAGTTTGAACCCTTTAAGCCAATTGCTTTATTAGTTAGATTCTAGAAAATTTTCTTTCAAGATGCCAGTTAAGGTTGCATGTGAGAACAAATTGATTTTGAATAGATGTTAATTGGCCCAGTATCGGGGAATCTACCAACAAAATGGCAGAAAGGGAAGATGGCTTTTACGTTCCTAAAGGTTGTTTTCACTCACCGTCAAATATAGTCAAGTGGTATTGTAGGACCAGATCACTTTCTGTAGAAAGAAAATTTGGTTGTTCTCAACTTCTCATGTCCCCACCAATAATTTAAATTAATTTTAAAACTGTTGTATGTGAAAAAGGAAGTGTCTGGTTTAGAAGCAATGCTAATAATAAGAAAAAATAGCTAGAAAAACTTTTCAGAATTTGAAATGTGAGGATCAGATTCTTTCTGAAAGTTTCCCACACCAAACCAAGTTTAAATCTCCATTTATTCAAATTCTATACACTTTACTTTTCTGAGTATTTTTTGTGGGTACATAGCATTTTTGAAGTGCTATAGTTGACCATATCCAGTTATTGGCTAAGATTAGTTTAATCATTGATCTAAGTTTGAATATTCTCTTCAAAGAGCCAAACATAATTGAATTTATTGGTGAAGAATACTCATATGTAAGTTTTGCTACCAGCATTTATGCACAAAAAAATAAAAATAAAAACAGAAATATGCACAGAAAAATCAATGGGTGACCCAGAATCATTCAAGGTGCCATCAATCGTTCTATGCACACTTCTGTGAATCTTCTTTTATGTGCACATAGTATTATTGATATTATATTCGATATTCACAAAATCCCAGAAAAATTAAGAGGAAATGAGGAGTTAAAATGATGTATTACCCTGCATAATATGGTGTAGGTACCAAGAATGCTTCACCAGGATTAGCTAAACAGAAGGCCAACATTTCATGAGCTCCAGTAGCTCCACCACTCATAACAATGCGATCTGGGTCAAATGTTACTCTATCGCCTCTCACTTTTCCCATAAACTTAGCCACACCCTGTTCATGATTAACCATCCGTCATATTCACAAGGTAAGAACACAATTCAATTATTGAGTAATATCATTAGAGAGAGAAGGTTTTGATGATTTTAGTACCTTTCTGAACTCTGGCAAGCCATGATAATCCTGATAAATAGCAATGTCTTTGAATTCATTTGCTCCTTCAGCAGTGCAAATGGAGGCTTTGGGATTATTCACAACCCATTCTTTAATCAAATCAAAGCAAAGCTGCAAAAACCCACAAAGCAAACAGCTTTAATCAAATGTTCCAAGATAATATTATAATAACTTTGTCAATTTCATATGAAAGCTTTGATGTTGCAATCTCTGTTACCTCGTTTTCTGCTAGACCCGTCTGAATAACCCCATTTGGGTTCTGGGTAGGATGGTATGGATTGCTATCGTACGCCTTCCAACCATCAAAATAGGGAGAGTTTTCACCATGCCCATTGTTTGTTGCTATCTTAGACAACAAGTTCTGATTGTTGTTTGAATTGAAACCCATTTGATTTTGTGCCTTGAAATGCTGGATTTGTTGCCTGAAAGTGAAGATTGTGAGAGAGGGAAGTGATAATTTTGTTTATCTGTGTTGTGGGTTTTTGTTAGATGTTTGGGTTGGGTTGAGTTGTAGTATTTTAACATCATGGCAATACTTATTTATAGTGGTTTGTTAATGGTGAGAGAAGAAGGAGATGAGAAATGAAGGAAGAAAGATCAACAAATGGATGTTTCCTTGAAAGTCTGTGGCTGCTTTTGACCGCAAGTTTCATGTATTCTTTTTTACTGGGTTTTGAGGTCAGCGAGGAGACAGGCTATTCGGCCAATGGCCATCTTTTTCTTTCGAGCTGTACAAAGTGTGTCAAGGACCAAACTCACAACCATTTAGATCATTGACAAAAATAAATAGGTAAATTACACATTGCCACTTTAAAGTTTCAACTATTTTTTATTTTGACCTTTTAAGTTTAATTTTTTTACTTTAGCCTTTTATATTTACAATTCTTTTCATTTTGGCCCTTTAAGTTTAATTTTTTTCACATTAACCCTTCATACTTTGATTCTTTAAGTTTAATTTTTCTCACTTTAACCCTTCATATTTACAATCCTTCCTACATTATTCCTAGATTAGCTTTTATCCAAAAAATTAACAGAATATGCCACATCACTAACACATCAGTTCTAGGTGTGATGTAAAAAATTCACTAAAGATGTAAAAAATAAAAAATAGAAAACAAAAAAAATAAAAAAAAATTTTAGTCTTTAGTGAACTTTTTTTTAAAATTCATTCATAAACATTATTACATTATAGATGTATTTAGATTAAATGCAGCTAAAAAAATTAACTAAAAAAAGAAAAAAGTTTACTAAAGACCAAAAAAATGAAAATATATTGACTCAAACACTTGTATTGTCAATTCTGAAATGAAGAATTTACTATCATTTTTTTCGCCTTTAGTAAACTTTTTTCTTTTTTTAGTTAAATTTGTTTTTATTTTTTTAGCTGCACCTAATCTAGATGCACATATAATGTAATAATGTTTATGAATAAATTTGAGAGAAAAAAAGTTCACTAAAGACTAAAAAATATTCCATTTTTTTTGTTTTTTAATTTTTATTTTTTGCATCTTTAGTGAATTTTTTACATCACTTACGGAACTGATATGTTAGTGATGCGACAAATTCACTAAAAATGTAAGTCGGCCAATTTTTAATTGATGTAAAAAATTGGGCGACTTAAAAGTGAGAATGATTGCAAACATGAAGGGTCAAAGTGGGAAAAATTACAAACATGAAGGGTCAAAGTGAAAAAAATCAAACTTAAAGGGCCAAAGTGGGAACGATTACAAATATGAAGGACCAAAATGGGAAGGATTGTAAATAAAAAGGACCAAAGTGAGAAAAATCAAACTTGAAAGGTCAAAGTGAAAAATGGGTGAAACTTTAGAAAGGCAAAATATAATTTACCCAAATAAATAAATAAAACTTTACTTGTATAGATTAATAACAAAAAGATTTTTAGGTGGTATTGATTAAAATTGAAAATTTAATGTTAAATTTTTTTAAGTTGAAAATTTGTTTAATAAGAAAAGTAAGTGTGGAACAAAAAAATTTGGTTGACAATAATAGTGGAGGTGGAAGATTAGTGGTTTTGTGAGAGTGGAGGCATCATGTAATGAAAGGTGGTTGTGGTGTTGAAATGGCGGTGCTATTTGTCCCAACGGTAGTGCTAATAGTGGAAGTGGAGGGTTCTAGTAGCAGTGATGGTAGTGACAATGGTAACCGTTATAGTAATAGTAGTAAAATTGTAATGATACTAGTTGTGACAATAGTAATGATACCTAAGATAATACGTAGTAGTGTTAGTGGTAGGGGTGGTGGCAGTAGCAATAGCTGAGGTATTGGCGTGTAGTAATAGTTGTGTAGAAGTAGTGGTTGTGGCGGTGATGGGGTCAGAGCTAGCTCTGGGGACAAGTCAACAAAGCAATTGCTTTGGACCTCCAAATTTGAGCTAAAAATTAAGACCTCAATTTATAAAAAATTCTTATAATGTTTTAGACCTCAATTAAATGAAGACTGCCAAATTTTTAACACCAAAAATCACCAAACTCCAATTCTCATCACCAAACTCAAACACAAAATTGTTTTTATAAGTGGTGGGTTTCAATTACTTTGATTTCAACTTACCAAAACCTAACTTTTTATGAATGAAGGATCCAAAGTAATTGATTTCACTTTACCAAATTTCTTTCCAACTTAATTTATCATTATGAGATTGAACTTTCTAAAATCTTAATATTCTCTCTAGATGCTTTTAGATTTTGTATCATTTTAAGTTTTACCTCAATTGTTTGTTAACTTTACTTAAAAAGTGAAATCTCTATAATTAAATTGATTGTTGTTTGTTGAATAATGAAATGTAATGTTTATTTAATTATACTTTCAAGTAAGTATAGAAGGATTAATTGAATCACAATTTCAAGCTCTTGGTTCAATTTGTAACTAAAAATGCAAGAACAATAATATTTAAGTGATACAGTAATATGATTCATCTAGTTTTTTTTTTTATATATTACAGTTCTATATTTTTGTATAATTTTTTTTTTTCGCGTAAATGGTTAGATATAAATAATAATACTAAATTTGATCCTTTAAAATTTTTGTAATACTTTTTTAAGTTGATTTTTTTTTTTTTTTTTTGAGTGACATTGTTGTTTGGGATGTGTTATATAAGTGTACTTTTTTATTTTTTGACTAAAAAAGTAGAGAAAAAAATGTATGTTTTGGATAATTTTTTAATTTTTTACAAAAAGATGTGTAATAAATTATTGTAATAAATCAAAATAACCATTTTTACCTTTGTTGACTTTTTGACTTTTGGATAGACAAATTCAAATGGCAAAATAATAATAAACTTTCTCCAAATAGAATGGATTTTTTAAAATTTTTAGTAATTTTTAAAATTTTTAACTTTTATAAGTTATGCCAAATTAAAGCTCGATATTTAAAAAAATAATAATTATTATTTTTTTTTTTAAATGATATTAATTTTAATTATTTTATATTTTTGTGCACACGTATTCAATTACAGCCAGCAATGACAATTTTGATTACATTAGAGATGGAAGGTACATGTCCTATGGGATATCAACACGTAAACAACACTATGTTACCATAAAAGGATGCAGACAGACATAGCAACACGGATTTGCCCTACCCTCTCACTAAATTGATGTTTGAGAGCAACAATGTCAACTCTTTCAGACTCTGCCTCCTACTACCCTTAACCGAGGTTGTGGTGTTTTGGAAAGCTATTAAAAAGTTAATTTTTTAATTTTTTTGGTAAGTGTTTTTTATTAAAAAGTTAGGTTATTTTGGATAAAAAAAAATGAATTTTTTAGTTAAAAAAATTAAAAAATTGACTTTTTTAATGTGTTCTCAAAAGATTCCGTAGTCTTCATTTGAAATGTAGGTTAATTTTTTTTATTTTTTAGTTATTTAATTTAGAATTAAAAAGTTTTGTTTTGGATAAATTTTTTAGATTTTTGTAAAAAAAAATAAAATTATGATTTGAATGTAATATTTTATCTTATTAATTTAAAAATTCTATTTTATTTTTTTATTATTATTTTAGCCTAAACTCTCCATGCCAAACATAACCATAATAGTTGCGTATTGGTGTTTTGGAAATTTTAAAGATAAATTATCTATAAGTTTTAATAGTTGAATTTAATTATTATCAAGTTTTATTGAAAATGAAATTTAATAAAATCATTGTTAAGAATAATTTTTTATGATAATTTTTATATCTGTTGTTAAAAATTAATAATTAGTGATTTTTTGTCATTATTTTTATAAATTGTCTCTAAAACTTACAATTAGTGATGTTTTTCTGGGAAAATTTTTTCAAACTATTGCTGAAAGTACAATTAGTGATGTTTTTCTGGGAAAATTTTTTCAAACTATTGCTGAAAGTTAAAAATTAATGAACTTTTTTGTGATAATTTTTTTAAGTTATCGTTAAAATTTATAATTAGTGATATTTTTTATGACAAATTTTTCAAATTATCGCTAAAAATTAACAATTAGTAACGTATTTTAATAGTGCTTGGTATAAATTAAAAAAAAAAATCATTAATTTTTATAAGACCTATTAAATAATAAACTCATCTATTATGACCTATATCTAACTCGTCCAATTTTTAATTAGGTATGACTTTTGTCAAACCTATTCTTTGATTTGGATGTTCAAATTTTCCCTATTAAGAGCCCATTTTGGTTCATTTCATTAATTCAAGTAGTTCAACTTTTAGTATATTTGAAGTATATTATTATTCGTATAAAAAGAAAGTAGATATTAGTAATTACATACTTAAATTATATTCATCTTTAAAAAAATAAAAGCAAATATAAATTAAAATTAAACTGTCTAATTTTTTTGAGACAAATGTGATCTAGACATTTGGTTGTTGATATTAAATTAATCTAATTTTTTGAATAGATGATCTAATTGAAATGCACTAAAAAATATATTGGGGAAAATATGTGATTCCCACAAGTAAATTAATCAATGGAAATAAAAACTAATGCGGAAAAATTAGATCAAAAACAACACAAGAATTTTTACGTGGTTCCCTCAATGTGAGGTACATCCACGGAATCGAAATCCGATTCCACTATCAACTAAATAGTTTTCAAACGATTACAAACGAAACACGAATGGTCTCACGAACCACCTTTACGTGAATTTCAAATAATCACAAATAAACAAGAAGAAAGATCTTACCAAATAGATGAACCAAAATTTTCAGAACCAGAGTTGAAAAAGATCCAAAATAATTAATCCAAATCAACTTCACCAAAGCATCTAGCCGAAGATGCACTGAAAAACATTCCAAAGCACCAAGATTTGTAGCAACCTCATAGCACCGAATAAATCATACCAAGCCCTATCTCACCAAAATCAATTAGCTGCTACCATGTGCATCGAAAACAAATACAAATATTTATATATGTTGTTGAATCTTGAATTTTGTAATCAAACCTAATTGTTACCAAATTGAATTAGGTCTTCACAAAATTAGATATAATATATAAAAATATATTATACCTAAATCAAACCAAATTAAAACTCTTTTAGTAAACCAATTGAGTCCCAC